CCTAGGACAGCCGGCTTCACTTCATCATCATTGTGTTCACCGTTCCCACAGAAAGATTTATCTCTTGTGCAATTTCAGGACAGGTTATGCATCGATTATCCTGGATCAGGCGTTCCACACGCTGAATGTTCACAGGAGTGACTGCTGTGGACTGGGAACCACCACGGCTAGGATGGTCACTGATGTACATATGGCCATCTTTGAAACATTTCCACCATTACAATGCCTTACTGGGGGCTGAGCGTCTCATCACCGTACGGTGCTTGACGTCTTCTGTAGATATTGGTGGGTTTTCCGCCTTCGTTCTCAAGAAACGTCATCATCACACGCTGTTCCATCTTAGGACAGCCGGCTTCACTTCATCATCATTGTGTTCACCGTTCCCACAGAAAGATTTGTCCCTTGTGCAATTTCAGGACAGGTAATGCATAGATTATCCTGGATCAGGAGTTCCATGTGCTGAATGTTCCCTGGAGTGACTGCTGTGGGTGGGGAACCACCACGGCCAGGATGGTCACTGATGGACGTACAGGCCATCTTTGAAACATTTCCAGCATTCCAATGCCTTACTGAGGTTGGGCGTCTCATCACCATACTGTGCTTGACGTCTTCTGTAGATATCGGCAAGTTTTCCGCCTTCAATCTCAAGAAACTTCATCTCCACATGTTCTTCCATCCTAGGACAGCCGGCTTCACTTCATCATCATTGTGTTCACCGTTCCCACAGAAAGATTTGTCTCTTGTGCAATTTCAGGACAGGTTATGCGTTGATTATCCTGGGATCAGGCGTTCCACACGCTGAATGTTCACAGGAGTGACTGCTGTGGACTGGGAACCACCACGACCAGGATGGTCACTGATGGACGTACGGTCATGTTTGAAAAATTTCCACCATTCCAATGTCTTACTGGGGTTGAGCGTCTCATCACTGCACTGTGCTTGAAGTCTTCTGTAGATATCAATGGGTTTTTCCGCCTTCGTTGTCAAGAAACGTCATCATCACACGCTGTTCCATCCTAGGACAGCCGGCTTCACTTCATCATCATTGTGTTCACCGTTCCCACAGAAAAATTCATCTCTTGTGCAATTTCAGGACAGGTTATGCGTCGATTATCCTGGATTAGGCGTTCCATGTGCTGAATGTTCACAGGAGTGACTGCTGTGGACTGGGAACCACCACGGCCAGGATGGTCACTGATGGACGTACAGCCGTGTTTGAAAAATTTCCATCATTCCAATGTCTTACTGGGGTTGAGCGTCTCATCACCATACTGTGCTTGAAGTCTTCTGTAGATATCGGCGGGTTTTCCGCCTTCGTTCTCAAGAAACTTCATCACCACACGCTGTTGCATGCATGCTCTAACACTGTTGTCTACCATCTTGATTACTGGTCTCTGGACTGACCCGCAACATCAGTAATAGGACACACTTGCCACTTACTACGGCGTATAGCGTCCATTTTTATACCTGGAAATTAAAAGTCCCAGTTTGACTTGAACGTCCCTCATACAGTATAAAGGTATAAGGGAAGCCGGCTGGTTTTTCGAACCCTTTAGGGGGAAACCTGTTAGTCAGGAACTGACTTGAGTTTAACCATTAGCCGCCCGGCCAATGGCCGTTTGGCGGCTTCAAAAGTGTCTCTGCATTCCGGGTGCACGCCATTTGGCGTGCTCCCACACATGCGCAGTTTGCGCTAATGCAGAGCGGCGCAGCAGTGCGATCTGTCACCGGCCGTGCACCTCGGACACGGCCGATGACAGATCCGAGTACCGGCTCCCGTTGCTGGTACCATGTGACCTGCTGTGACCAATCACAGCAGGTCACATGACAGTTGTATACAATGGATGGCTTCATTCATGATGCCATCCATTGTATACTAGTGCCTAGCTGTGAATGGTCACAGCTAATCACATGCACATGTCATGTGATTAGCAGTGACCAAATCACAGCTAAGCACAAAAAAAAAAAAAAAAAAAAAAAAAAAGCTGAATGAATCGATTTCATTCAGGTAAATGCTTGCTTATAGCAAAGTAATTCTTTGCTATAAGCAAATTGTGTAAAAATAAATACTGATCACTTCCCCAAAGTAGTACAATGTTACTCTGGTAACATTATAGTACTTTGGTCATAGTAAAATATGAAAAAAAAATCTTTAAAAAAACAAAAAAAAGTAATAAAAAATTAAATATAATGAAAAAATAAAAACAAAATTAAAAAAAATATATATATTTATTTTTTTTCATACGGTCACCAGTCAGTGTCCCCTGATCACCGCCATGCCAGTTATATGATGACGCTGTACTGCACTGGTGACAGTATGTAAAAAAAAAAATAGTGAAAATAATTTTTTTAATTTTTTAATTTTCCGCAAAATTATGACAAAAAAATACAACTTCAAAAAACTCGCCATGCCTCTTATGAAGTACGTCGGACTGTCTACTCTGCAAAAAGGGGTAATTTGGGGGATATCTGTACTGTTCTGACATTTGGGGGATATCTGTACTGTCCTGACATTTGGGGGATATCTGTACTGTCCTGACATTTGGGGGATATCTGTACTGTCCTGACATTTGGGGGATATCTGTACTGTTCTGACATTTGGGGGATATCTGTCCTGTCCTGACATTTGGGGGATATCTGTCCTGTCCTGACATTTGGGGGATATCTGTACCGTCCTGACATTTGGGCGATATCTGTACTGTCCTGACATTTGGGGGATATCTGTACCGTTCTGACATTTGGGGGATATCTGTCCTGTCCTGACATTTGGGGGATATCTGTACTGTCCTGACATTTGGGGGATATCTGTACCGTCCTGACATTTGGGGGATATCTGTCCTGTCCTGACATTTGGGGGATATCTGTACCGTCCTGACATTTGGGCGATATCTGTACTGTCCTGACATTTGGGGGATATCTGTACTGTCCTGACATTTGGGGGATATCTGTACTGTTCTGACATTTGGGGGATATCTGTCCTGTCCTGACATTTGGGGGATATCTGTCCTGTCCTGACATTTGGGGGATATCTGTACCGTCCTGACATTTGGGCGATATCTGTACTGTCCTGACATTTGGGGGATATCTGTACTGTTCTGACATTTGGGGGATATCTGTACTGTTCTGACATTTGGGGGATACCTGTACTGTCCTGACATTTGGGGGATATCTGTACTGTCCTGACATTCTTGGACCTCAAGAAATTAGATTGGCTGTCAGTACTTCAGGATTGATCAATATTCAGATCTATACCATAGTTTGTGAACTCTATAACTTTCCTACAAGCTAAATAATACATCCTAATTTGGGTTATTTTCACCAAAGACATGTAGCAGAATACATCTCGGCCTAAATTTATGAAGAACAATTATTTATTTGTAAACTTTTATAACAGAAACAAAGAAAAATGTGGTTTTTTTTTTTTTCAAAATTTTTGGGCTTTTTTTGTTAATTTAGCAAAAAATAAAAACCCCAGCGGTGATTAAATACCACCAAAAGAAAGCTCTAGGTGTGTGAACAAAATGATAAAATTTTAGTTTGGGTACAGTGTTGTATGACCGCGCAATTGTCATTCAAAGTGTGAGAGCGCTGAAACCTGAAAAATGGCCTGGGCAGGAAGGGGGAAAAGTGCCCGGTATGGAAATGGTTAATTAGTTGCCTAGGCAAGCATGTTTTTATGTATGTTTTATGCTGTGGGCTATGACTGCACAAGATCCTCCTGAAACTGTGTTTGTTTGCTGCCTTAATGAACAAGAGTGTTAAGAGAATAAATGTGCTTGGACTGTCCCTGAGCATCCCTTGTGTCCCTTGTCTTGTTCATGGTTTACCAATTCAGCCTGCTCCCCTTACAATAGTTAAACCCCCAACAGTACAATCTGTCTGTAGATGCAGTAAAGCATGCTTGTTATACTCACTGTGGAACCTAAGGGGTTAATCCTCCACATTGTGTAAAAAGGCTGTTTGATCCTGTCTTCTCTGATCCTCCCCTTCTTCCAGTGTCCCTCTCTTATCTCCTGATAAGACATATCTTGTGGAGTTACCCTGCACATGCTGAATTTGGTGTGTATTGCTACAGAAGTTTCTTTTTTTCTTGGGAGAGTGCATGTGATCAGCACAGGGCCAATCAGCACTGTCCAGACAGAGGTCAGGGGCTCTGCATCCTCCTAGAGAAAACTCCACCTACAAGCTTTAACTAGTGCTCAGCTGAATACTGATAGAAGTCACAAGACTGCTATATACTGCTGATGAGAAAAGGTATTTAGCAGTTTATATTTACTAAAATAATTGCATTTCCATGTTCTGTGTACTGTGGGAGACCAGATATAGTGAATGCGGGGTCCGGGGGAGAGCGGATATAGTGAATGCGGGGCCTAGGGAGACCAGATATAGTGAATGCAGGGTCCAGGGAGAGCGTATATAGTGAATGCAGGGTCCGGGGAGACCAGATATAGTGAATGCAGGGTCCGGGGAGACCAGATATAGTGAATGCAGGGTCCGGGGAGAGCGGATATAGTGAATGCGGGGTCCTGGGAGAGCAGATATAGTGAATGCGGGGTCCGGGGAGAGCAGATACAGTGAATGCGGGGCCGGGGGAGACCAGATATAGTGAATGTGGGGTCTGGGGAGAGCGGATATAGTGAATGCAGGGTCCTGGGAGACCGGATATAGTGAATGCAGGGTCCGGGGAGAGCGGATATAGTGAATGCAGGGCCCAGGGAGACCAGATATAGTGAATGCGGGGTCTGGGGAGAGCGGATATAGTGAATGCAGGGTCCTGGGAGACCGGATATAGTGAATGCAGGGTCCGGGGAGAGCGGATATAGTGAATGCAGGGTCCGGGGAGAGCGGATATAGTGAATGCAGGGTCTGGGGAGAGCGGATATAGTGAATGCAGGGTCCGGGGAGAGCGGATATAGTGAATGCAGGGTCCTGGGAGAGCAGATATAGTGAATGCAGGGTCTGGGGAGAGCAGATGTAGTGATTGCAGGGTCCGGGGAGACCAGATATAGTGAATGCAGGGTCCGGGGAGAGCGGATATAGTGAATGCGGGGTCCGGGGAGACCAGATATAGTGAATGCGGGGTCCGGGGAGAGCGGATATAGTGAATGCAGGGTCCGGGGAGAGCGGATATAGTGAATGCAGGGTCCGGGGAGAGCGGATATAGTGAATGCAGGGTCCCGGGAGACCAGATATAGTGAATGCAGGGTCTGGGGAGAGCGGATGTAGTGATTGCAGGGTCCGGGGAGACCAGATATAGTGAATGCAGGGTCCGGGGAGAGCGGATATAGTGAATGCGGGGTCCGGGGAGACCGGATATAGTGAATGCGGGGTCCGGGGAGACCAGATATAGTAAATGCAGGGTCCTGGGAGACCAGAAGTAGTGAATGCAGGGTCCAGGGAGAGCGGATATAGTGAATGCAGGGTCCGGGGAGACCAGATATAGTGAATGCAGGGTCCGGGGAGACCAGATATAGTGAATGCAGGGTCCGGGGAGAGCGGATATAGTGAATGCGGGGTCCTGGGAGAGCAGATATAGTGAATGCGGGGTCCGGGGAGAGCAGATACAGTGAATGCGGGGTCCGGGGAGACCAGATATAGTGAATGCAGGGTCCGGAGATAGCAGATATAGTGAATGCAGGGTCCGGGGAGAGCGGATATAGTGAATGCAGTGTCCGGGGAAGGGAGAGCGGATATAGTGAATGCAGGGTCCGGGGAGGGGAGAGCGGATATAGTGAATGCAGGGTCCGGGGAGAGCGGATATAGTGAATGCAGGGTCCTGGGAGAGCAGATATAGTGAATGCAGGGTCCGGGGAGAGCAGATGTAGTGATTGCAGGGTCCGGGGAGACCAGATATAGTGAATGCAGGGTCCGGGGAGAGCGGATATAGTGAATGAAGGGTCCGGGGAGACTGGATATAGTGAATGCAGGGTCCGGGGAGACCAGATATAGTGAATGCAGGGTCCGGGGAGACCAGATATAGTGAATGCAGGGTCCGGGGAGAGCGGATATAGTGAATGCAGGGTCCGGGGAGAGCGGATATAGTGAATGCGGGGTCCGGGGAGAGCAGATATAGTGAATGCGGGGTCCGGGGAGACCGGATATAGTGAATGCGGGGTCCGGGGAGAGCAGATATAGTGAATGAAGGGTCCGGGGAGCCCGGATATAGTGAATGAAGGGTCCGGGGAGACCAGATATAGTGAATGAAGGGTCCGGGGAGAGCGGATATAGTGAATGAAGGGTCCTGGGTTAAGTAACACTTTACATACTGCCAAAGATGGTGGTATATATCTCAGATGACGGTGCCAGTCCCCACTGATTAATGATGGACAGAACTTCTATATCCCGGTGTAAATCAAAAGATAGGCTTCCCCTATAAAAGATAGGCTTCATCTATGACCAGACCCTATTGCAGTATATCCACCTAAGGGCACTTTTGAGTGACATCTCCAGTACCCACATCTGCAGAGGAGAGGATCTCATCCCAGGCTGTACCTTAAAGGGAACCTCCGCTTCTGGCATATCTGATTTATGCGCATTAAGATTGCACTTCCGATGAGTGGGCACTCTTTCCATTGGTCTCACGTCACCGGATTCTTTTGATTTACACCGGGATAGAGAAGTTCTTTCCATCATTAATCAGTGGGGACTGGCACCGTCATCTGAGATATATATCACCATCTTTGGCACCTTCATTTATTGATTACTTATTGCTTTTTACTTAGGACGATTGTTTACTTGTTTTATTATATCTCAATTCAGTTTATGAGTACTATCTGCAATTTATTAGTCATAGCGCTGCACTTGTTTTTTTACATTGCTTATTTGAGAAGGTTTGTGGTTCCTTTTTGGTGCACTAGCTGCTATCGTAAGCGCTCGCTGTATCTCTATGGTTCTTAACACTTTACATACTAAGGACATTTGAATGACCCCTTAATGTGGAGGGGTTTAAGAGTAAGGAACACAGAGTTACTGTAATTGGTCAATAGTATTTAATGCAGAGTGCGGGGTCAGTAGCATGTAACACAGAGTACAGGTATCATGGAGAAAACAAAAGAGAGCGCAGAGGTCAGGAGCAGATAGTGCAACATGTAGGGGTCAGGCATTAGTAGCACAGAGTAACGTACTATTTCTATTTCCACTCCGATCTGAGGTCTGAGAGGCGGCAACCAGTTTTGATGGAGGGGTGACACAGTGGGGTCATGATCTACACAACAAAACGGTAGATCACAATCAACCTCACCTCCTAAACGACATCTCAGACTGGATGTCGCTCCATTTCCTCAAGCTTAACCTCTCCAAAACCGAACTCCTCCTCTTTCCTCCTGCCCCACGCTACCCCCCCCCCCCAGCCTATCCATCACCACCACCAACACCACTATCATTCCCGCCCCGCAAGCCAAAGTCCTTGGCGTCATTCTTGACTCGAACCTCTCCTTCCTCCCTCATGTCAAATCACGTGCAAACACATGCAGGCTCCATCTCCGCAATATTGCCAAGATTCGTGCCTTCCTCACCCCAGACACCACCAAACTTCTTGTACACTCCCTCATCATCTCACGCCTGGACTACTGCAACTCTCTTCTCACTGGCCTACCCAAGTGCAGGCTCTCCCCGCTCCAGACCATCCTGAACTCAGCGGCCAGACTCATCCACCTCACCACCCGCTCCACCTCTGCCACCCCCCTCTGCCTCTCCCTCCACTGGCTCCCGATTGCCCAACGCATCAAATTTAAACTTCTAATCCTGACCTACAAAGCCGTTCATAACACTGCCCCCTGACTACCTCACCAACCTGATCCCCAAGTACCACCCTACCCGTACCCTTCGCTCCTCACAGGACCTCCTTCTTTCTTGCTCCATGGTCTCCTCCTCCCACGCACGACTGCAGGACTTCTCCAGGTCCTCCCCTATCCTCTGGAACTCACTGCCCCAATCCATCTGACTGTCGCCTTCCCTCCCCACATTCAGGCGCTCCCTCAAAACCCATTTCTTCAGGGAAGCCTACCCCACCCTCACCTAATGGCCATTCTCCCTCATTCCTCCCACCACTTCATCCCCCTCAGCCACTTCATTCCCCTCAGCCACTTCCTATTGTTCCACTACCCCCTCCCTCCTAGATTGTAAGCTTGAAAGAGTAGGGCCCTCTTACCCCTCGTACGCTGTCTGTTTTTGTTGTACTGTGCCATGTATTGTCCCCCCTATTGTACAGCGCTGAGCAAACCCTTTGGCGCTATATAAACTCGATGTAATAATAATAATAATAACCTGTTGCCAACCCCCACTATAGAATGACTACAAAATCCAGATCATGGTCTTTGATGCTTCTGTGTGTTGCACAGCATCAGGTCCCAGCTCTACAAAGACTAGGCCAATGTGCCCTTTCCTGTGGCTCTTGAGGAGCTATCTCTCATGGAGACAGCCTTATATTCACCACAACACACCAAGCTGTGCACAAGCTTCTTATACTTTGATGACCCAAAGTAATAGATAGCAGGATCCACACAACAGCTGATGCTACTACAACTAACAGATAGCATGTAGGCAAAATACACAGAGTTACCGAATGACTGATCAAAAGTCAGACAATAAATCAAGAGGAGAATATTGTTTGGGCCAAAACAGATGATATACTCAAAAAGTACCGTGACGCAAAGAGACACGGATCTGGATTTTTTAACGGTGCTTTCAATTTTGGAAGAGCTTAAAGTTCGGATGGTCACGATGTAACAGAATGTTGTAATCAAAAAAGACAGCAAAACGAAAAAAAAAATAAAAGCAATTAAATAATAAATGTAAAAACGTTGAACTTCCAGTATGTTGTAACAAGTTGTAATGTTCAGTTGGTCAATGTGAACAGTTAGATTGATGGTGAAAAGCGGCACAGCGCCGGCGATGGAAACCACCCAGATAAAGAAACAGGTTATCCAGGCTCTGCTCACTGTGCGCCATAAAAGGGACTGCATGGGATAGACCACCGCCAAGAAGCGGTCCACGCTGATACCGGTCATGAGCAGGATGGAGCAGTACATGTTGGAGTAAAATGCGGCGGTGATGAAGCGGCACATTCCTTCTCCAATCACCCAATTGTTTCCTAAGAACCGATAAGCAATATTGAAAGGCAGCAAGATGACGAAGAGGACATCGGAGATGGCTAAGTTCAACATGAAAACCACTGATGGTGTCTTCGCAATTTTGAACAGGAATATGATGATCGCTATTACATTGCAAGGCAGTGATACGAGGAATACGACTGTGTAGACTGAAGGGATAAATGTAGTCACCCACCAACTGCTGAGATACGCTAAAACTTCTTCAACTGAATTCACCATGAAGGTCGTGATGTTTTCATTGTCAATTTCTAAATCTAAAGAAAACATCAAACAATTAGGAACTTAACCACAGTAACTGAACATAGCACCAGGACTATGATAAAAACTAAAAAAGACAAAGCACTAGTATACATAATACACCAATAAAAGTTAGAAGTGATGTGAGGTTGTGAGGAACATGATCTCCCAGCATGGTTCCTTTTCCGGTTGGAGGGCACTTTGCCATGTGCTGGTCACTTGGACAGTGGTCAAGATTTGGTAGATTGCCTATACTGTGCACGGTGGTGATACAGCTGAATGCCAAAAAGATATAGAAAGTGGTGTGTGAGTTTGAGCACACAGGAGAATTCCCTTAATAAAGGACTGTGGAAGTATTTGGACGTGTACTGTGAATCCGCTTTGTTCCGATGAAATGAGGTTGTGGGCAATCAAATTCCTCTGGTTTGCTAGACTTTCCCAACAGTTTCTGGACCATCACACAAGTCTACATAATTCATAGGTCATAGAATAGTTCATAGAACAGTTCATAGAATAGTACTGGAACATTGCTAGGCTCAGGCACCTGAGACAAGTAAACATGCCCATGATCTGCAATATTTACCCACTTTCCTGGGTGAAATGACCACCCTCCACCCTTTTGTTAGTGCTTGCATACTTCAGAAGATATTGTCTTCTCAGGTATGTAATCACTGAGATCAATGATATCTTTAGCCTGGGATTTCTCTCATTCTGGTGACCACTAGAGATGAGCGAATTATTCAAAAATTCGGTTCGGCTGATTCGCCGAATTCGCTGATTAAATTCGCTTCGAGCCGAATATATTCGCTGCGAATTTAACTTATAAAAAGGGTGTTTCTAGGCTTCAGAGAGCCTTTATATTAGTGCAGAACACTGTACCTTTAATTTAAATGCCCTTGGAGTCTGCTGGGGAAGAGAAATAATACTGTCAGTCAGTATGACATGCAGATGAGTGCCGTCGATCTTAGAATCACCGCACACTTCACTCATTTGGGCAGTCACGGGGCCAAAACCAGAGTGTGGAGCCACAGTGTGGCGGTGGAGGCAGCAGCAATGGGAGGCCATACAGCACCCTATGACAAAATGGAACCCACCAGCAGTGTGAGGAGACCTGAAAGTGGCACATGGCAGAGTGTGGCGATGGAGACAGCAGCAATGGGAGGCCGTACAGGGACCCATGACACACTCTGGACCTGGCAGCAGCATGAGGAGGCGGTACAGGGGCCCATGACAGATTACGGGCCTGGCAGCAGCATGAGGAGTCGGTACGGGGGCCCATGGCAGATTACGGGCCTGGCAGCAGCATGAGGAGGGTACAGGGGCCCATGGCAGAATGGCGGAGCGTAAGCAGGTAAAATTGAAGGCCATACAGAGGCCTATGTTAAAAAGTCCCCCCAGCAGCAGCGTGGGGAGACGACTATCAAGAGTCCAATGGCAGAGTGGCGGAGCAGAAGCAGCTTCAATTGAAGGCCATACACAGGCCTAGGTTTAAAAGTCCCTCACAGTTAATTCCAATAACGAACTCTACTCCTCCGTGCAATCTACTTACCAGACCCTGGGCAGGTCTGGGTCCAATTTGTGGTAGAGACTGGTTTTGTTCAGCCATGCTTGAGCGAGTAATAACAGGTCTGTGCTGCCCTTTGGTGTCTGGATTAATGCGCACAACACTGAACGTCCCAGCGTCACCGCCACCCGGCGTGTAAATGGATTTAACTCTTTGAACGTACAATAGTGGTTGTGAAGCAGAAAGTCAGTTTATTTAGCACAATCGGTCAATTGCAGCTTGCCGTTGGCTGGAAACTGTACGTTTATGTCACTGGAATGCACTAATCACCCAAAAAATATTACCGCCACCCGGCGTGTAAATGGATCTAACTCTTTGAACGTACAATAGTGGTTGTGAAGCAGAAAGTCAGTTTATTGTACACAATCGGTCAATTGCAGCTTGCCGTTGGCTGGAAACTACGTTTGTGTCACTGGAATGCACTAATCACCCAAAAAATATTACCGCCAGCCGGCGTGTAAATGGATTTAACTCTTTGAACGTACAATAGTGGTTGTGAAGCAGAAAGTCAGTTTATTTTGCACAATCGGCAAACTGCAGCACCAACTGTGCACGACAGCCACCAAAAAACAAAGGGTGTATGTCACTTTAAATTTTCGATTCTTTGATAGCTGTGGCCCTAAGTAACGATTCTGTGTCCCTGAGTAACGATTCTGTGTCCCTGAGTAACGATTCTGTGGCCCTAAAGTCTCTGTGGCCCTAACTCTGTCCCTTAATACACACAGGTCTGTCTCTCTTGAATGACCGGAGGCTAATGGAGAATTCTAAGATGGCCGCGATTTATAGCTCCACCATTACACAGTGCTGGCTGGCTGCTGATTGGCTAATGCGATCACATGTCATGAATGCATTATGGGTCAGCGCGCCTTGTCTGCGCTCCTTCCCAGAGATCCCCGCCCCATCTTCTCTGTCCATTTTCTCCGTCGCCACACATGTCGCCGCCATTTTTGGGAAAATTCGATTCGTGCATCCGAAGTTTGCTAATCTTCGGATTCGTCGCGAATAGAATTTTTCCAAATCTTCGGAACGAATTCCACTTCGTCATGTTCGATTCGCTCATCTCTAGTGACCACTAGAGATGAGCGAATTATTCAAAAATTCGGTTCGGCTGATTCGCCGAATTCGCCGATTAAATTCGCTTCGAGCCGAATATATTCGCTGCGAATTTAACTTATAAAAAAGGGTGTTTCTAGGCTTCAGAGAGCCTTTATATTAGTGCAGAACACTGTACCTTTAATTTAAATGCCCTTGGAGTCTGCTGGGGAAGAGAAATAATACTGTCAGTCAGTATGACATGCAGATGAGTGCCGTCGATCTTAGAATCACCGCACACTTCACTCATTTGGGCAGTCACGGGGCCAAAACCAGAGTGTGGAGCCACAGTGTGGCGGTGGAGGCAGCAGCAATGGGAGGCCATACAGCACCCTATGACAAAAATGGAACCCACCAGCAGTGTGAGGCGACCTGAAAGTGGCACATGGCAGAGTGTGGCGATGGAGACAGCAGCAATGGAGGCCGTACAGGGACCCATGACACACTCTGGACCTGGCAGCAGCATGAGGAGGCTGTACAGGGGCCCATGACAGATTACGGCCTGGCAGCAGCATGAGGAGTCGGTACGGGGCCCATGGCAGATTACGGGCCTGGCAGCAGCATGAGGAGGCGGTACAGGGGCCCATGGCAGAGTGGCGGAGCGTAAGCAGCTAAAAATTGAAGGCCCTACAGAGGCCTATGTTAAAAAGTCCCCCAGCAGCAGCGTGGGGAGACGACTATCAAGAGTCCAATGGCAGAGTGGCGGAGCAGAAGCAGCTTCAATTGAAGGCCATACACAGGCCTCGGTTAAAAAGCGGAAGCCGTCAGCAGCGTGAGCAGACGACAGAGGCACATGGCGCAGGGTGGCGGTGGAGGCAGCAGCAATGGAAGGCCATACAGCACCCTATCACAAAATGGAACCCACCAACAGTGTAAGGAGACCTGAAAGTGGCACATGGCGCAGGGTGGCGGTGGATGCAGCAGTATTCGGAAGACATACACAGGACTAGTTTAAAAGCGGAAGCCGTCAGCAGCGTGAGCAGACGACAGAGACACATGGCGCAGGGTGGCGGTGGGATGCAGCAGTATTCGGAAGCCATACACAGGCCTAGGTTAAAAAGCGGAAGCCGTCAGCAGCGTGAGCAGAGACGACAGAGGCACATGGCGCTGGGTGCGCGGTGGAGGCAGCAGTATTCGGAAGCCATACACAGGCCTAGGTTTAAAACTGGAACCCAGCAAGCGTGAGCAGACGACAAAGACGCACATGGCAGATGGATGGATCTGGCAGCAGTATGAGAAGGCGGTACAGGGGCCCGTGGCACAGTGTGGGGATGGGGGCCACAGCAACTGGATGCCAGAAAGTGGCCGATAGGGCTATATACTGCATGACTACATAGGTGGTTTTTATAGTACTTTATTTTGGCCTCCCTCTCAGCAGGTGTGAAAAAGGCCACCATTTTTGAACGGTAGCGAGGGTCCAACAAGGTGGACAGCCAAAAGTCATCCCTCTGTCTGATGGTTATTATTCGGCTGTCGCTACGCAAGCAACCGAGCATGCTATGGGCCATTTTGTGCCAAGGAATGCGAGGGACTCCCTGAGCCTGCCTC